CTGGGAGATGGTACCCCACTCAGCTCTGTTCAGGTGGACGCTGATCCCAATCTCCCCAAGCAAGGCCATCTCATGGATGGCCTTCTGTTGCTCCACCAACCTTTTGATTATCAGGTATGTGTAGTTCCACCTAGTCTTCACATCCTGCACAATTTTGTGCTGTTGGATGCTCAGTTCTGCCTGTTTCTACCACAGCATCTTGCCACCCTTGATGCTGCAGTGGAAGTAGCCCACCACCTTCATCCATTTTGAAATCAACTGACTTGTAGCTGTGGTGGTGGCATCGCCATCACCAACAGCCCTGTCCCCCTCCAAGGCATCCCTCACTATTAGGTTCAGCCTGTTTGCCACACAGTGGATGCCAACAAAGTCAGCATCACGGACAGCCTTCACCATATTGGCCCCGTTGTCGGTGACCATGAACATGTGGGTGAGCTCAGCCTGCCCAATAAGCCACCTCTGCACCATGTGGTTCATGGCCCCCATGATCTCCCTTGCCATGTGGGACTCATCCAGCACCTCTGCTTGCAGTAGAGCCCACCGACAGCCTCACTGATCACACCAGTGCCCCATGAGGGATCACCCCAGCTGCTCCAGATGTTGGAGGTGAAGTGCAAGGCTACCCGTGGCCCTGCCTTGCGCAGCTCCTCCCTCAAGTACTCCCTGTATGCCTCATACAGGGAGGGCACCACTGTCCTGCTACAGATAGTTCATGCAGACACTTTGTAAAATGGGCCCAGAAGTGCTACAAACCACCTGAACCCTGGCCGCTTAACTAGGGAGAAGGGCTGGCTATTCAGCTCAAGCATCTTCCCAATGCTGTGGGTGATCTCGCTTGCCTTGAGAACACGCTCCCCTTTCTGTCCACCTTTCCCCCACTGGTCCAGGGTGGCCTGCTTCTGCTTTGGGGGGAAGGGGAGTGGGGGACTTCTCTTTTGGCACACTCACACTGGTGTCAGGCAGAGCAGGAAGAAGGGCAAGGGGGTGCTGCTTTCTCAGATGCATCAGCATGGCCGTGGTGGAAAAGTGTCTCACATCCCTGTCACGGCTTATGTGTCTTCGGCAGTGCTGGCAGATGGCAAACCTGGGATCAGCCTCTACCTCAAAGTGCTCCCACGCTCCACTACTCCCCTGCTTCTGGGTTGAAGGTGAGGATCCTGCCTTATCCCACTACTCAGCAAGCTGAGGCTCAGCAGCAGGAGGAGCTGCCTCAGTTGAGCCACTTGCGTCCACAATCTCAGCCTCCTCCAAGGTGCTGCTTTCCAGAGGAGACCTGGTTCTAGGGGAAATTTGAGGGGTGTGGAGCACTAACTCTGATTACCCCTCAGTCGACAGAATTGTTTGAACCAGCGCACTCAGCATCCCTGGTTCCAGCTCCAGCTCCTCCTCTGGCAGTGGGAGGCTCTCATCCTGAGAGATGAAATTGGGGTGGAGAAGACAGTGATTCCACTGCTGGTGCCTACTTCTGGACTGACCGGAGGTGGTGCAGGTGCAGGGACATCAGGTGCAGATGCTGCTCCCACCTCCTTGCTTCCACTGGCAGCACTGATGTTACAGCTGCTTGGGAAGAGAATGTGACTGTGTTTGGGGGTAAGGGAGCTTGCAGCTCTAACTCTCCCCCTACCCCCTCTCCCTCCCCTGCCAGAAGACCTGGCACTTGCCTTTTCAGCATGCTTTATATTCATCTTTCCTGTGCTGCAAAAGGTCTGTGTGTGTGTATCAATCTTTTTGTATTGTGTGTTTTATTTCCTCTGTTGTTTGCTTCAGTGTTAAGAGTTATGTAAAAATAGTGTGCTGTCTGTCTGTCTTCTCCTATGATTATCTGATTTTTCTGCTTTATACTGTGTGTGTGTGTGCGTGTGCAGTTTGTGTGCCTCCCTGCACAGTGATGGATTACACTGGTAGGGAAAACACAGCTTTCTTTTTTCAAAGTTTGCAAAAAGAAAAAAAAAAGAGCAAATATAAATTCAAAGAAATGAATTGAATAGTAATAGTAATTAAATAGCTGAGCTAAGCTAAGCTAAATGCAACCCAATCCTTTCTAACAAACAAAAAGGAGCAGGCAAATTCAACTACTGAGTAAAGCAAGCAAGCTGAAATGCTTGAGTCTGAGGGTTCCTCTTTCACGCAGTTCCTGAGAGGGAAAAGCTAGGAAAAAGCATAGCATGCCTCCAAACAGAGGATTTTATGCTGTTTCTAGGTCCCTCCCCCCAGACACTGTCATTGGAAAGGCAGCCAGAGAGAAATCCTTCTCACTGGCCACCTACATGTCAGTCTTCCCCCCCTCACCCTACCCCCCTTCCACTTTCCCTCCTTCACCCACTCCCCCTCCCTCTTTCAAATTTCAGTTTCAGTATCCAAAGCATTTCCAAAGCACTTCAGAAGCTCTATACTGCTTTGGACATCTTAACTGAGCCTGCGCTTCACTCTGGGCATGCTGCTTTGGACACCAAAGCATCCGAAGTGGCCCTGGATCTGAAGCGCAACCCAAAGCCTCGCACAGCCCTAGTGACCAATATACAATTAGTGGAGTGATTACTTGCTATTTGCCCTACTACAATATTCACTCATGAGGAAACACTATCAGTCATTTACTGCATTGATTGCTATTTCCAGAAATGCCATCATCTTAGCTGTAGTCCTACTGGAAATGATGTTTCAGTCCCAGAAATACTCATTTTGAGCATGCTGAACATCTCTTCCAGAAGCAATGGCTCCCGGCGGGATAGGGAGTGACACTATAATACAACTATGGTATTCTTAAATTTAGTGGGCCTGTGTTCACTAGATTTTAAATTGCAGTGTGAAATATCAACAAGATTCCTGTGAAGTAGAAACTGTTAAAGTTTACTAACATATTTTTTTCTTAACGGGACACTGTGACACATGGAAATGAAGGAAAAATGTCTGTGATAACTCAGTGATTGAAAACACGCACTAGAAGTATAACCCAGCTACCCAAATCTAATTTTGACCACCAAATTATGCACCTAGATGTGTACTTTACGGGACTCTACAAGATGTGAATTGCATAATTGCAGCTCAAATAACCTAATAAGTAAGTGTGGGTTACATAGGCAGGGAAAAAAATAATAAAGTAAAGTTACAGGCTGTTTAGCAGGGAGATTTCAAGCTAATTTGAAAATTTGGGCCTTCATATTTATTGATTCACCATTATGGTTTTCTGAGAGATGACTTACCTGCATGGAGTTATTTACATCAGGTCTCTATTCATATTTGGTCACTTTTTTAGGTTGTCATCTCACAAGACAACTACTCTCTCTGCAATCTCAGTTTTAATCCTCAAAGGGAATTCCTTTCCTAGATGAGTCTATGAACTTCACTTCATTATACTGCGGTTGCTCGGGGATGCAGGGGGGCAGTCAAGAAGGCCAAGGCAGAGATGGAACTGG